TGTAGGCGACCCTGCTTCGGCAGGAGGGTTGGACTAGATGACCCACAGAGGTCCCTTCCAACCCCTACCATTCTGTGATTCTGTGATTCTGTAATGGTGAAACAGGTATCCCAGGGACAGGAGGAAGAGTGCTATTTCTTGCCTCCTTGTCAAAATCCTAGGCTCACAGAATTTTCCTGCGCTTTGTCCTTAGGGGTATTAAAATCAGGCCCTTTAGGCACTGGGATTTGTGGAGGAGGATTTGATACCTCAGCCTCTCTGCTCTTTCGTACTTGGTGGAAACCAGACATACCTCAGCTATGGCCAAAGACACATTCTATGTTGTTCTGCTCTTTTGCTGTCGTCACTACGGTAAGTTGACAGCACTTTGCCTATAATGTAGGAGAAATCCCATCTCACTTTTGGTACATACATGTTCACTTCTGAGACAGCCATCTTACGTTGCTCTCTTATAGCCAACAGAAAGAAAGAAGCACTTTAGGAACACGATTTGTCTGTCATCTGCCTTGGAAGGAGATGGGTAACACCGCATCTGACTGTAGAAAGAGTAGAGGATAACTCACTGAAAAGCAAACGGATCCATTGCAGACGTCTACCCTAGGCTTGTGTGAACTTTCCCCTGAGTTGCTGGTACCTAATTTCTCAGAAGAGTGGCTTCTGTTTCAGCACCAGTTTCAAAATGGAGGTTGTGGCGTATGTTGTGTAGACAGACGGGGGTTGGGTTGGCTCAACCAGGCTCCGGTGGAAGAAGGGCAGCATCTGAGGGCAGGGCAGTGTCCGCTTGAGGGAAGGCTGCTGAAGGGCAACAGAGCGGGAGAGGCGGTGGAGGAGAGATGTGGAGCCTGAGGGGGGCAAAACAGTCCCATGTGCAGAAGCTGCAAAATGCCATCAGGGTGGCTGAAGCCAAGGTGCCCAGGGAAGCAGGGCGAGCGTGAGGGGTCCCGGCCTGGGCTGGAGGCTGTCACCCAGTCCGGGTCCTCATAGCAGATCCTGGGCTACCGTAATGTGGTCACCTCCTGTGAGGCGTGCTTATGCGGGAGAGCATCTCGGGTAGTCTCCCAGTTTTTGGACAGAGACCCCTCGTAATGTTTCCCTGCTCTCCTCTGCTTTTCTGCTTTACACATCTGATTCATATGAAATAAGCTCGTGAGTGGTGGGATGCAAGGCCAGCAGAGCCAGAGCAGGAGGACACCGCAGCTTAGGAGAGAGAAGTCAATAAATAAAGGAAACAGAAGTTTGCATGTTATAGATATGCATGTATGTAGGTAAGGTGCCAAGTACAAACCAAGAAATTGCATTTACCTTATTTTGTATGCTAATTTCATACTGAAAACACTGTACTTTTTCCACGTGACTTGTACGGGGTGGTTGCCATGTAATTACGCAACCAGCTGAACCTCTAGTACAAGTGACAGTGACATTTAATGGAGGAGTTAGTATTTCTGGAAAGAAATGAAAGAATTAATGTAGACATGGTCAGTAATCAGCCACAACTCGTGTTCATAGTAAAATACACGTGAAGTTGAGGCAACTGATGTACAACTGTGTGGTACTGATGTTAAGAAATCTTGTCTGGTAAATAGGAGTAAAGTACAGTGGCAAAACTTGGGAATATATCACTTCAGTTGTTGGACTTCTGAAGTAACTGAAGTTCATGTAAAAAAAGCATGAAGGATTTTGTGCAATTCAGTAGTGCAATCAGCAGAGTGCTGTTTTCTTCTACGTCTAAATTTCACATTGAGAACGCAAGTCTCTGTGGGAAAAAACTATTGGAAATTTTTGTGCGTGTGATAGTATTCAGGAAGAAGACCAAGTCATCTAAATTTGAGTGCCTACAATGTAGTGGACTAGGTGTGACCTAAGTGTCTAACCACTATAGCGAGTGGAGACCTCATCAGTAGTGCCCATGCTGTCTGCAAAGCCGTTTGGCATACGACTGGGCAGGCGTGCTTGGCTGAGTAGCTCTGGGCTTTACAGTCTGCATGGGCTGCAGGCAGGAGTCAGCCTCACGCGGTGCATTTCAGACCGCATAGGACACCCAGGAAGATCCTCATCTTTCACAGGTCCTGGACCACGTCTGCAAGCCTTGTGGATGCCTCAAGTGTCTGAGGGTGCCTCAAACAGCACTAGAGACATGTTTCTAGGCAACTGAATCCTGTCCCAGATATATACCGGAGCTTAAACACCTAGCACATACATAGGTAACCACATACTTAAATAACACACTCTTAATTTGCAAGTTGAACCCTCCTTCTCGTCTTAGGGCATGTAGCTTTTGTGGCTTTCAGAGAGGCGTGGAATTATGGGATAGAGAAATGAGCCCATCAGAAAACTGGCCTTGAAAGTCTAACCATTGCTTTTCATCACTTGGATTCCATGGAAAAGTTCACACTACTTCTCAAAGCCGTTATTTCAGGCTGCTTGTGCCTTTGCTTGTTTTAGTTAATTTTTTGAACTATATTCTGTCAGCTATCAGGAATGAAGTCTGTCCTGCATTGCAGGATCCTGTGATGGCTACAGACCACAGCTCTTCAGAGAAAAAAATCCCCACTTATCCTTATTTTATAAAGCAACAATAAAATTAAAATGTTCACTTACCAATTTTATACAGTGGAATGTACTCATCATAGAACTGGATCAAGGAGTCTTTGCTAGACCCGTTCACCAGGAAGTAAGCTTTTTCAGTCTCTATCCTCACATTTAGGAATCTACATCCCGTGTTTCTGCCGTTTTCATCTTTAGTGTAAAGCTCACATTCCATCACATCATCGTCTCTGTATATAGTATTTTAGTTAAACATGGGCAGTGTGATGTGTCAAATGAGAATTCAGACTTCCTTAGACTCAAGCAGACCTACTTACCTCGAGTTCTGCCAGTAGAGAAAATACTGAGTATCTCCTGGAGCATCCTTGCCTGCCTGCCAAGTGCAGTTCATGAGGGAAACATTATAAATCACGCAGGAGAAGTTTTCAATTGCTGACCCATTCATGCCTGCAAATACAGGAATATCCGTAATGAGGAAAAATCGTGTGACTGCTCTCAGCTGGAGGATCTTGGCACATGCTTGAATATGTGAGAGACCTGCAATTCCAGCTGGTTATTGCTTGAGTTAGGCATGATGACTGAGAAAAAGCTGGACTCACCATATTTTGACTGCCTCTGAACTGTGAAACCTGGGAGCGAGTAGAGCATTCACATGGTTAAAATAAGGCACATTGCTTTTTAACACCATCCTTGGTGCTGCAGAGAGAAGTATTTCTCCTTTAAAAATTAGTTCTCAGCAATCCATTCCTGAAGTGCTTACACACAGCATTTAAAAAGCTGGGACATTTAAAAGCAAGGTGGGGCCCTCTGATCAAACAGCCTCCAAGCTAGAGCTTTCCACCCTGATGTGGGTGATAGAGACTTGATCTCTTCCTTCTCTGGAGCACACCGAAGTGAGAACCTCATTTCTCTGGAAGCTGCCTCGTGGCTGGGCTGGGCTGGCGTGCTCAGCCTCCTTCTCTCTCTCTTTCAGTAATTTTCTGCTTCTTTCTGTGGTGTGCCCCAATTTCAGCAAAAGGGTGGAGGCTTCCTCTGCTGCTGCCCCCAGCGCCCTCCGGCACCCTCATGGAAGCACGGAGTCGTCCCCTGGGGAACTGGCATGAGTGGAGGCTAGGGCCAGCTGGGGAGGAACACCGAAAGCAAGAGTTTTTAAGAGGTGCTGTGTCCTGGCTTGTATTTTGAGGGTCACTGTGAGAGTGTTTCCTCTGTCAAGTCCCCAGGAAGAGGGGAGTAGGGAGTACTTTCTCTGCTCAGATATGAGCAAGCTCATCACTGCTGCAGATCAGTGGTGACTGGGCAATTTTAGTGTACTCTGAGTTAAGAAGGAAGGGAAAAACGGGCCGTAAAAACTTCAGGTTTGGAATTACGAACCTAGGATCTGCCTAATCCCACTTTGACTAACTCCCACATGGGCCAGGCTCGGCATATCTTTGCAAACAGTTGCCTTAGCTCAGTGGGTGCGCAGCAGCTGAGGGAATGTGCACGTGTGTGTTGTGTGTGTGTGTGCGGGCGTGTGCACCCCAGGGCCAGAGGAGGAGATTGCTGCATCCAGTTTGCCCCTAGCTGCTTTCCTCTCTCCTCCCATTTTACGGGTTTCACTGGTCCCCAGACTGTGCCTTTAGCTAACTCTGGTCTGGCTCCTGACAATCTCACCAACAGCCCAGCAGAAAAGCATTTAATAAAGAAATAGGCACCAACATGTTAAGTTGTAACAGCCAGCACAGTTATCTGAAACCACCCTTGAACCACTGTAATTTTGTGGCATTTTGGAGCCCTAGTATGAAAGAGAATAATGCAATTACTCATACATCTGTAGTAGTTTTGCAGAATGGTGGAAACATTCATTACAGAGCAAATAACCTTAGCAGATCTGCAAAAAACGATTTTTAATAGAAAATAAAGCAGTTACCTCCTGGGCAAGGAATTATTTTCTAAGGCTATGTTTGACTTTAAAAGATTGCAACTGCAGAAGACCTTACCCAGACCACAGTCATTACCTCCAGGGATAAAGCTGCAAGTTTTTGAGATGTTTGTGTCTGGCACTTCAATGACAAAGTCTACCCCTTTGTGCAGAGGCACGTATTGTTCCACTGGAAACCTGCATAGTGGACTATTCACCTGAAAAAGAACATGATGTTTTATTTCTCTGTTTTTCCAGTGCTGGTGTTAGATGATGATGGCTGTTGAAGTGCAATTCAAGAAACTCAATTCACATGGCCAAAATCTTGCGTGTATATGTACCTGTTTTAGGCTCAAGAGCTAACTCTTTCCTTTACTTCTTGAGGGTGATGTAGAATGGAGCCGAGTGATCTAAAGCATAACACAAAAAGCTTTGCAGCTAAGGAGTTGAATGCTGCGCTAGTGTGCAGCTATTGGAGAAGGCTGATAGTGCTCCAGTGGTGGAACAGAAGAGGGTTAATAAATGGGGGAACCACAATGGAATTTAATCAAAGGAGTAAGCAAAATAGAAGTCCTCATCTGACCTCCCCAAGGGTAAGAAAGCTGGCATTATACTAATAACCTTCAATAAAGATGTGATGTGATTTTCTAATATGTATTTCTAACTAAGACATCTGCTTTGCTAGGCTAAATAAGCCACTTCTATCTCTCTTTCTATCAAGCTTCCTACTTTTCTGTTTGGATAATGTAGGCTTATAACATAACCTGTGCTACAGGCATGATCCAATTTATTGGGAAATAAATGAAGAACCTGACATAATGAAAATCCATGGCAGTGTTTGGGGAACTCACTTTTTATTTGAAGCGTCTCTTGCTCTGTCTCTCTAAATTCTCTACGAGTCTCATGTGGTCTCACAGCATAGCAAGTTTACCTCTTTTCGTATACTTTCCATATCCCTGTCCATGAGGGTGCATGTGTACTTAGAGAAATTCTTGCTGCTCTCCCAGGACAGTTCCATTTTTCTCCAGTTCATTTTCACGCTTGTAATAGGTGATTCTTGTGCCTCTGCTGAAAGTGTTACAGAAGAAGTTCAGTAAGGATACGCTATTGTTTTCATTGAATGCAGAGGATAGTATCTGTCAGGCTTAAGATGACAATTGCCAGATTAATTGCAAATATCTCTGATAAATTAAGAATTAAACCCTGTCTCTCAGATTATGTCTGCAAAAATATACTTACACCCCATACAGTGAATGTCAGCATGCAAGAGATGAAACAGCATCATACACCACCAAATCATGAAAGTGAGTTCCAGAGTATCAATCATCTTTTCTTCTCTGGAAATAGACAATAAAGCCTTCAGGAAAAAAAAGAAAAGGAAAAAAAAAAAAACAGAAAAGTGATGCCCAAGTGTACTTTGGTTTCTGCAAAGCTTAATTTTTTTTTATGGGAAGAGTCAAAGATGCTGTCTAATTCACCCTAAGAAAATATTCTTTGGAAAATCCAAACAGAGGGTGTGCTTCAGGACGTCTGGCAGGTACCTCTTCTTTGAAAGAACTGAATAGGCTCACTAGTATCTATTACAACACAGCGGTTTGAGATAGAGAGGCCACAGACTCTCGTTATGATACATATACTCACTCTATTCGGTGAAGAGACCATGACTTAGGATTACTGTTGTCCCACATATCTGTCTGAACCATACCATCAGAAAGTCAGGGTTTCTTGCTTTCTGATCTTGTGAACATCACTGCACATTTTCCTGTGCAGTGCTCCAGCTTCTGTTGCAAAGTGAGCATTTAGGCTGGCTTTCAAGGATTTGTTGAAAGCACCTTTTGGGAAGTGGATGGTTTGGTTTTTGGTTGTGTCAGGGTGTGGATGACTCGCTTCTCCGTGAGTGCTCTGTTAGAGCTGGCATCACCACCAGGCACATTCAGAGCCTGTACCTGCTCCTGCCATCGCAGCTGAGAAGTGCATGGAAAATGGCCATGAGATCTGAACTGTCTAAGCAAAGCAGGAAGAGAAAGGCCTCCATCTCTGTCAGGTTTTAGCAGGAATTAAATGCTGACCTGCTTACCTTTTTTTAACTGTGGCAAATCTACATTCTTGCTTGAAAGGCTTTTGGGGCTGATTTCAAGATCTCACATGGTAAGGCCGTAATAGTCCTTAAGACAATGTTTAGAGCAGTGCTCTGAATCACTTCTCATTCTTTTCCTGGAGGCAAAGATCAAAGCTGACTGCAGACGCATCGTTGGTTTTATATATATTATCTATTAATTTCAGTGCTATTTTCTATCATCTTTTCTTCTTTTCTTTTCTGACAAAAGATCAGCTAAGAACAGCTTTCTGTTCAGAAAAGTACCTGAGGAGAAGGAATTTTGGTGGTCCTTTCCGAAGGCAATTTGGCACTGGATAGCCCTGGATTCAGCTGCTTTTCCATCATCCTGAATATGCCAAATATCAGCTTTTATCATAAACTCGAGGACATTTCTGTCAGTTCCTGACTAACTGAATTAATTTTTCGTTTTTGCACATGGTCCCTCCCTTCTCATCTCTTTTAATGGAAAACCGAATATACTGAAGAATCCCAGTTGTTAGATGTAGTTTACTGTATCTCACGATTAAATAGGATACTTTTTCCCTGCACTTTCTTTGTTTTCATTTGTTTTGGGTCTAGAAATTCTTGAATCTTACAGTGGACTTTATTAAACTTCAAGGATGTCTGCTCTGTAATCAAAATATGATGCTAGCTCATAGAATATGTCCATAATTATTTTAAACTAATATAATTACAGTGATAAACAATTGAACTTGGGCTATAAAATACACTTGAGAGGCTAGGAAAAATGCTGAACATGCATAGAGCTATTTTAGAGAACGTGACTCTCAAGTCTTCATGTACAGTTCTTTTGAACAAAGATTTACACCATTACAGTGTACACCTTCCTTTGTGGTATTTCTGGTCCTCTGCACCAACAACTTTCCTTCTGTAAGTTGTCAACATTTTCTAGAACCTACTGCTGTCTTTGTGTGTTTTTCAGTCCAATTTCCGGAAATGACATGGTATATGCTAATGATCCCTTTCAAGGAGGAATGCTACAAAAGATGAGATATTTTCCAGTGTTTCTTTTCCCTCTTGACTTGCCTCCACTATGTCTTGATAATGAAACAAGCCTATTAACATACCTGCACATATCCTATGTGGGATGAATTTTGATATTAAAACATCTAAAAATATCTACAAGTAAGTATTTACATAAGCACAAATTGTTTATGCTCCCATTATAGTCAATGGAGATATGGCTGAATTCCATTCACTGCTTCTGGTACACATAAAAAATTTCTTACTATTTGTTTTAAAGCCTTTGACTATTACTATACAGAAGTCTTATTAACCTTTTTAGTATCTTCCTATTTTCTATATATTTGATTTTCTGTTTCCCTGTGCTGAGTTTCTTTGATTTGGAAGTCTTTTTCCTAAAGGCATTTTTTCAAGCTGCAATCAAACCTTACATCTGGTCAGGTTTCTTTTGCCTACTTTTTCTTGTCTCTCACAGAGTGTGTGAATATTGTTTCTCGTGAAGCAGTGTGTAGACCACGTGTAGGAAGCTACGCCTCCCCTACATTCTGGGCTGTGTGAATGTAGGACAGGGTTGGCGCTGCCGCCTGGTTCCACAAGGTAGTTCATGGCTGTTCTTTCACGTGTCGCCCTTCTCTAGCTTAAGAAACACTTGGTTCTGACTGGGCTGGAGTTAACTTTCCCCACAGCAATCCATACAGTGCTGTGCTTTGTATTTGTAGCTAGAGCACTGCTCATAACCCACCGACGTTCTGTCTATTGCTGAGCAGCGCACGCACAGCGTCAAGGCTGTCTCTCCAACCCCAGCCCGCCCACCCCACAAAGGCCAGCAGGCTGGGGGTGGGCAGGAGGCTGGGAGGGGACACAGCCAGGACAGCTGACCCTGGCTGACCAAAGGGATATCCCACACCATGTGACGTCATGCTCAGTGATAAAAGCTGGGAGAAAGGAGGATTGGGGTGGGAGGAAGCGTTTGTTATTAAGGCATTTGCCTTCCAGAGGAATTGCTATGCGTACTGAGGCCCTCCTTGCCAGAGAGTGGCTGGATATCACCTGCTGGTGGGAAGGAGAGAGTAAAGAAGAGAGGGAGTGAGAGGGGTGCTTGGTGGGCTCCTGATGGTCAGCCAAGGTCAAACCACCACAGCATTTTTTTCCTGTTTGCTATGACAAATGGCTCTCCACTTTTCAAACTAGATTAACTCCCTCTGTTCTTAGAGGTTTACATCCCTCACTCCAGAACAGTCTGCTTCAAATTTTTGCTTGTTGCTCTGTCAGAAACCGAGGAGACAGATGTTACAGATCACTGTAGGAAATCTAAATTATTAAGGGAGCGTGCATACCTCCAAAGGGTGACTCCACATTCATTCATGTGGCATGGAGGTCTGAGGAGAGCTAGTCAAACACTGGCATCAGCTCTTGTCAAATATATCTATCTTAAGTGCCATTTTCCTTTTCTCAGAGAAAGTTAGGTCTCTTTGGAAGAGATTTCCCTGTTCCTAGCATTTGTTTTCCTGGTTTTTTTTGCCTTTTTTTTTTTTTCTACATGAAGAACCAACACTGGTTAATGCATTTGTTTTTTTGTTTAGTATTTCCTAGTAGTGTAACTTCCTAGTAGCAAGTTTCTCGATTTCAGATATTTTTAAGGTTAATTCTAAGACTGTGAGGTAAATTCTTAGAAACTCAGGAAAAAGAGAAACATGGTGATATTTTGTTACTTGTCTGTCCTTTTACATTAATTTTTATGGTCATTTCAGAGTGCTGATTCCAGACTGACTCCATTTGTGGTGAAAGCAGAAACTCAGCCAGACCCTCCAAGCAGGTGGAGTCTTGAATATTTCCAGAGGCCACCTTGTATTTCATGGAAAACGGCTTGATGTGACCCATTCGTCATGGTCTCCATGAATCAAGCCAGGACAGGACATCATGTCGGGGTTGCAACAGAGACTCTTCACTGTAGCCTCTTCTTTGCTTATCTCGCATGGCATCAATCTTTTCTTTGTAAATCATCATGCTACAGTAAGGATGTGGCCACAGCTGCTAGGAGGTGATACTGAAGAATCTTAAGTACAAACACTGTGGAGGACTGGCTGTGAAATGCGATGTGAGATATTGGTCTCAACAGTTATTTTTCCATTTTCCCATGCTCTCAGTGATGCACACAGGAACCTCAAGACCTCTTGTCCTTCCAGTCTACCCCTTTTCATACAACCATATTTTTCTCCATTTTTTGCCACCTGTTCAGTCACACTTGAGCTTTCCTCCTTCCTTTCCTCATCCTATGTTGCTTCTAAGGCATTTTTTTTCCTATTCTGTGGAAGCTGTTTGCTTACCTTTCCTTTATAATCTTTGCTTCGTTCTTCTTGTCATCTCCCTCTGTCTGCTCGCATGACTTCTCTGCTTTCAAAATCTCCCTCAGATTTCCTACACATGGCAGCAGCCCCATACTGCAAGCACTCTTCACGTTTTCTCATGGAAATTCTTGTCTGGAGCACTGCTGAAGGAGTCTTGTGGAGCCCTGCCTGCTTAGAGGAGTGCTTGCTGGCACCATTGCCTCCAGGCTCCGGACATGTCATTGGGCTTGCAGCAAGAATAGCAGGGCCTGTATTCACTTTCCTCATAAGAAATGACCATTTCCATTGACCACAACACTAAGTGGTTTTGCTTCCCAAGGGATTTGTGTTTCATGGTTGGCTGAGGTTTAAAACAGATTACACAAGAAGTAGGATTAGTGTTGGGTTGTGCCTACGTTCTCTCTATCACCCCAGCTGAAGGTACCAACAGATAGCCAGGTCCTCTGGCTTTTCTGTGACCTGCAGGCGGGATAAGAGATGTAGGAGCTGTGGTAAGCCCTAAGCCACTTGCCTGACCCATCCATACCTTCAGGTTGGTGGCCAAGCAAGTGGTTCCAGCATCACATCTGTAGGAGCTTTGTGCTCCCAGGACTTCCACCCTGTCCCAGACTGGTCTTTCACGATCAGGTGTGGTACAACTCCCTCTGCTCTCAACAGACCTCAGGATTGAAGGTGTCAGAAGGAACACGTACATATGTCAAACCATTTGGGAATGTTATTTGGAGGATCAGTCTAGAAGAAATACATATATTCTTGTGTAACTGGTATTTCCTCATATTTCACTAATGCAGGAGATAATATAGAATCTGTTAGGATGAAAACACCCGTACTTAACTCTATGCTTGTTTCTGCTTTGCTTTCTTATTTCTCTCCTGTCCAGCCTCCCGAGTGCTTTGA